CACACACACACACTACAGTTCCCAGTGGAGAGAGAGGAGACCACAGAGGAGAGAGATTACTCTGGTACACACACACACACACACACACACACACACACACACACTACAGTTCCCAGTGGAGAGAGAGGAGACCACAGAGGAGAGAGATTACTCTGGTACACACACACACACACACACACACTACAGTTCCCAGTGGAGAGAGAGGAGACCACAGAGGAGAGAGATTACTCTGGGACACACACACACACACACACGCACACACACACACACACACTACAGTTCCCAGTGGAGAGAGAGGAGACCACAGAGGAGAGAGATTACTCTGGTACACACACACACACACACACACACACACACTACAGTTCCCAGTGGAGAGAGAGGAGACCACAGAGGAGCGACCTTGCCGCTGGTGCCACTTCTCGTGGGCGTTGTGTCCGATCCTTGAGCCGCACACTCGTCCGCAGATGGAGCAGGGGAAACCAGACACCAGGGGGGTACCAGCCGCCCACTGGTGTCTCTTGATGCGCCTCTCGGATCGTCAGTCTTGGTTGGTTTGGTGTATTTGAGAGCTTGCAGTTGCACAGGTGACATGCCAGGCTGATCTGTCGAGTGCCAGTGATTCAAGCTGTGTGAGCGCCCATTAGTTGACTGTAGAGGACTTGGCGGGGCAGGCGGTGTTCAGGCATGCGTATGGTGTGCCCTATCCAGCGCAGATGTTTTTTGGCAACAGCTGCTTCCATACAGATTGAGTCAGTGTTGCTGAGGATGACTGTATGAGGGATTCGATCTTCCCAGGACAAGCTGAGGATCTTCTGTAGGCAGCGGGTGTGGAAGGCCTCTAGGGTGATGATGTGCTGGCGGTATGGGGTCCATGACTCTGCCCCATAAAGCAGAGTAGAGACACATACCGCATTGTAAACAGCAACCTTGGTACTGACCTTCAGGTTACGGTTTTCAAAAACCCTGCTGCGTAGGCGTCCAAAAGATGATGAGGCTTTATTTATCCGGGTGTGTATTTCTTTGTCCAGGGAACAGAATGAGGACGAAGTGGAGCCGAGGTAGGTAAAGTGGTCCACTGTTTTAAGTGGAACACCGTTTATGTGAAAACTGGGGGGTGTGGGGGCGGGGGTAGTGAGATGGGACATGACCTTGGGTTTTTTTTATGTTGACCTGTAGGCCAAAGGATTGGTACAGACGGGATATTGTTTTAAGGGCGTGCTGCATAGAGTCTGGGCTGTGAGCTAAGACGGCACAGTCATCAGCACACTGAAGCTCACAGATTTGGCCGACGGATGTTGAAGAGGCTTCCGTCAAGTCGGTATTCCACATGGACACCGTCTTCATGTCCCATGACACGGTGGAAGAGGCAGGTGATGGCAGAGAGGAGGATGTTAAAGAGCACCGGAGCCAAGACACAGCCTTGCTTCACCCCAACGTTTACCTCGAAGGACTCTGACTGGAGTTCTCCCGTGAGCACTCTGGCTTGCATCCCGGCATGCAGTTGCTGTAGGATGCGGAGAAACTTGGGTGGTACCCCAAGTTTGGAGAGGTGTTTCCAGAGCAGTTCATGGTTGATGGTGTCAAAAGCTTTGCTGAGGTCGATGAAGGCAACGTAAAGGTCTTTGTGATGTTCTCTGTGTGTGTGTGTACTCTGGTACACACACACACACACACACACTACAGTTCCCAGTGGAGAGAGAGGAGACCACAGAGGAGAGAGATTACTCTGGTACACACACACACACACACACACACTACAGTTCCCAGTGGAGAGAGAGGAGACCACAGAGGAGAGAGATTACTCTGGTACACACACACTGTGTACCTTCTGCAGTCGGGACATGTGAATGCTGAGTCTGGGGATGGATGTAGTTGTGGCAGTGCGCGTTGGTGTCTGCGCGGATGTAGCATAGTTCTGTGTTGGGCGTGCTGTGATTCGATCTGTAGGGCCCCCAGATCGCATGCAGAACTCTATGCCTGACGGTTGGCAGCTGTTGTTTCCAGGACTCCAGGGTTGATGCCACAGCTCTTCAGGGTCCCCTTGAGGTGGTCCTTGTAGCGACGCTTCTGACCCCCAGGTCTCCGGTTGGCTGCGTGTATCTGCCCATAGAGGACCTGCCAGGGTAGGCGGTGGGAGGGCATGCGGATAACATGTCCAACCCATCACAGTTGCCGCCTAGCAAGGATTGCCTCCATGCTGCTGGAGTTGGTGCGCTGTAGGATGTCCGTGGGGGGGATTTTGTCTTTCCATGTGACACCGAATATGCCTGCGGTAGGGAGTCCATGCTTCTGCACCAAACAGCAGGGTGGAAATGCAGACTGCCTGGTAGATAGCCGCTTTGGTGAAGGTACGGAGATCTTTATTAACAAAGACTCGAGAACGAAGCCTACCAAAGGCAGAGGATTTATGCGTGCCTGGGTCTCGTTGTCTACGAGGCAGGTGGGTGTTAGGGTGCTTCCAAGGTAGCAGAAGTGATGACAACCTTTACTGGTGTGCCATGGATGTAGAATTCAGGGGGTGTGGGGGTGGGGAGCGTCACTGTACAATGATCTCTGTCTTTTGGATGTTGACATGTAGGCCACAACCTTGATAGACTGCGCATACAACATCCAATGTGTGCTGCATTGCGGTAGGGCTGTGTGCGAGGAGGGCACAGTCATCAGCGTATTGCAGTTCATGAATTGTGATGGTGGTGGTCTTGGTGATGGCTTGCAGGCGGCGGAGGTTAAAGAGGTTCCCATCCAGACGAAACTGTCGGGTACTCGGGGCTGAGGGAGTTGCAGGAGAGGAGGGTGACTGCTGCCAGGTAGAGGTTGAAGATCACACGAGCCAGTACACACCCCTGTTTCACTCCTACCTGCACAGGAAAGGAGGGGGATTGAGATGTACCCACAATCACACGAGCCTGCATGCCAACGTGAAACTGTTGTAGGATTTACAGAAATCTTGGTGGCACCCCATACTTCTACAGAATGACCCAAAGGACTTGACGGGCAATTGTGTCAAAAGCCTTTGCCAGGTTAATGAACAGGTCTTTGTTCGCAGGACAAAGATCATGTCGGAGGTGGACCGATCCTTTCTGAAGCCACACTGTGACTCAGGAATGATCCTTTCTGTGATGTTCTTGGTAAGACGGAACAGCATGACCCTCGTTAATACTTTCCCTGAGAGCAGGGATATGCCACGATTGTTTCCACAGATGGACTTGTCACCCTTTTTCTTGTGGATGGTAACAATGTGCAAGTCTTTCCAGCCTTGTGGAACAGTTTTTTGTGCCCATACTATCTGGATGAGTTGGTGAAGGCTTAGGTGAGCAAGTACCCGCCTTTCTTTAGAGCCTCTGCAGGGATTCCATCAGGACCAGCAGACTTGTCAGTGAGGCTTCGTACCTCTGCGAGGACTTCTGAGAACCTGTGCGGGTCATCAAGCTCATGCACAGTTGGGGGCGTTGGGAGGCGCTGCAGGACAGTTGGGTCAGTCGGATTATTTTGATTAAGGAGGGTTTTAAAATGTTCAGCCCAACGCTCAAGAATTACTTGTTTGTCCTTGTGCAGTATTGTGCCGTCTGCAGACCTAATGGGGTGATTCTGCATTTTTGGGGTCCATTTAGTGATTTTATTGCATCGTAGAAAGCTTGAGAGTTGTTGGTGTCTGCATAGCCTTGGATTTCACGGGCGGATTTATGCGAAGCCGCCGTTACGCCACAGCACGGATATTACTCCAGTGTGAG